ATAACAGTTATTGCATTTTATTTGCAGGTGATCCATCACCTGAAAAGTGACATTTTTGGCTCAGCTGCTGATGAAAAATGTCCCAGCAGCTACGAAGAGTCACCACGACAGATAATTTAATGTCGTGTTACCACTGAGCGACGGACTGAATTACGTTGGCACGGTGAAGCTGCGCCTCGAGGGCAGCTAACAAGCTTTGGCATGTGCTGCGTCTGCTCATGTATCAACGTCCAAAAAGCGTGTTTATGCGTTGGACACCGTGGGACCGTGTGTGTGTGTACTCGTGTGTAGTGACGTTTGTCTGTGTGACTCAGACTAATCCTATTAGATCTCTCACCCTCCCACCTCTATATTTACCTCCAGCTCTCTCCTCTGAGATTAACCTGAGTGTTTGCTGCATGTGTTTGTGTAGATCAGTGAGCAGAGCTTCATCAAAACCAGACTCAAACTGTCCACTTTCTCGCTTCGTTTCTCCAACACAGATATCCAATTGATTCATGATTGTGCTCTTAAGGGTAAATGTTCAATAGAAAACTGCTGCCACCCTTGGCTGTGAGGGGAAGGTTGAAACAGGTCCTTGATATGGTGGCCCTGACGTTTAAACCACAAATGCAAATTAAAAAACACAACATTTGAAAGAAAATAAAAACATTTGGGGGAAAAAAAAAACCCCCACGCAATCAAGTTTGAAAAAACGCAATTACATTTGAAAAAACACATTTGGAAAAAATGCAATTACATTTGAAAAAAAAACCACATTTGGACAAAATGTAATTATATTTGGAAAAAACACATTTGAAAAACACATTTGAAAAAATGTAATTACATTTGAAAATACATAATTACATTTGAAAAATGTTATTACGTTTGAAAAAGCAATTACATTTGAAAAAACATTACATTTGGAAAAAAATGCAAATACATTTGACAAAATGCAATTTAATTTGAAAAAACGCATATTTGACAAACCACACTTGAAAAAAAAACACAATTAATAAAAAAAAAAACACATTTGAAAAAACACATTTGAAAAAACACATTTGAAAAAATGCAAATACATTTGAAAACGCAATTACATTTGAAAAAAATGCAATTAAATTTGTTTAAAAAATGCAATTGCATTTGAAAAATACATAAAAATGCAAATAAATTTGAAAAAACCATTACATTTGAAGAAACACAAAAAATAGGTTTGGAAAAAAATGCCATTACATTTGAGAAAAACAACATTTTAAATAATGCAATTAAATTTGAAAAAACAACATTTGAAAAAACAACATTAAATTTGAAAAGTGCAATTACATTCGAAGAAACACAATTACACTGAGCGAAACCAGAAGATGTGGGTAAGGTGGGACCAGTGGGAAACATGAAACATCACTGACTGGACAACGTGATGTTTGAACCTCCCATCTTTCCCACCTCTTCTGGTTTTACTTAATGTAATTGTGTTTTTTCAAATGTTGTGTTTTTTTAATTTGTACTTGTGGTTTAAACTTCATGGCCACCATACGTTGACCACACTTGATGCTTCCAAGAAAATGCATCTGTCTCTTTCAAACACCTTTCCTCAGCAGAGCATGTTTGTCCTCCCTTTGCAATCCAATTTGTCCTCAATCCTCATCCTTCCTTCCCTCCCCCTTCTTCTTTTTTAGTAATAAGATTTCTGCCGTTGAGCTGGACTTTTAAAAGCTACACACACACACACAAACAGAATCAACTTCTACCTCATGATTACAGCCCTGCCACACCTCTAGTTATCCGTAATCCCCCTCAGTGGACCACAGAGTGCAGGGTGAACAAATTACAGACACGAGCAAAGCAGCAGTGAAAGGTGTCTCTGAAATACCATTCTTCAGGATTCAAAGGAAGAAATGAAAATGAATCAAAAAAAGATCACAATGGTGTGAACGAGGAGAGAACGCGAGAAACCGTGGATTGCATTTCTCGTGGGAGACGAGGAGTTTCAAGGTGAGGAGAATTAACATGTAAATTTACCTGCTGGAGCGCGTACAGAGATTGACGAGCTGTTAAAGCAGCAACTAACAAAACTGCAGCAGTGCTGGAGTGGATTGGGTGATGAGCTTTGAACAAAAGAATGGAAATAACTTTTCCAAATTCACAGTTACAGTAAATCCTCCTGCAGGTGGGATCAGATGATGCTAAACATAACTCTCTCACATCCGTTTTGGATGTTTTAATGCAGAATTGTTGCCTCAAATGGATCTGGCACAGCCCAGTGCCACAGAGTCAAATCTAATTTGTGTGGTTATCTCTGTCAGTTAAAGGCCCGCAGCGACAGGAGCGACAGAAATACTGACTGGATTAAACAGATAAAACCCATTTTCAGCTCTTAGGCCTGAAGTTTAATTCTGATTTACCTTTTTCATCTGCTGGGCTTTGTTTACTGGTAGTGTTTATCTTTTGCTTTTTCTTGTTTAAATTGTTGTGACGTATTTAAATTAGTATTTCTTTTATATGCAAAAACTGCTGTAGCCTGCTGACGGTAGGATTTTCTTAATTTATGGAGCCATAAGTGAACATTTCCGGAGCAATAACACTTTAAGGCAGTGGTTCCCAGCACAGGTCCTTGAGGAACACCATCCCGCATGTTTTAGTTGTTTTCTTGCTCCAACACACCTGATTCAGTGATTTAATTACTTCTTAATGTTCTGCAGAAGCTTGTTAATCACCCATTCATTTAAATCAGATATGGTGTTCCTCAAGGACCAGAGTTGGGAGCCATTGCTTTAGGGAACAAAAGATAAACGTATATTTCAGAGTTTATTTTCAGTGTTATTCTAATTGCTGCACTGACTAAATCAGCAGTTACAGGATGATCTGAAGGTATTCAGAACAATTATTTGTTTTATTTTAATGCCCAATCTGTTCCTTTGTGAAGATGCGCCACTGGCTTCAGGTTTTGGCTTCATAAAAGTTTAGAGTTTCACACAACGTGCAGATATTCTTCTGTTTATTTAAAGTCATGATTCACAATATTTTGTGTGTTCTTTACCTGGACTTTAGTTCTAGATTATAAGATGATTATCATTACTCTCCACCAAATGGCAAAGGCTCATGTTGTTGCCTGTGCATGTGTGTCTGTTAGTAAAATATCTCGTGCCCCACCAGACATGTTTTAATGAAATTTGTAGGAAGTAATCTTTGTACATTCATACATCCATTATCTTTACCCGCTTCTTACTTTTTGGGTCGTGGGGGTCACTGGTGTCCATATCCAGGAGTCACTGTGTGACAACCTGGACAGTCCCCAGTCCATCACAGGGACACAGAGACAAACGAGACAACCATTCACGCTCTCACTCACACCTAGGGACAATTTAGTTACCAATTACCCTAACATGCATGTTTTTGGTCTGTGGGAGGAAACCGGATTAACCGGAGAAAACCCATGCATGCACGGCGAGAACATGCAAACTCCACCTAGAAAGCCCCCCCAGCCAGGATTTGAACCAACAACCTTCTCGTTGAGAGTCAACAGCTCTACTAACTGCGTCACCATGCCGCCTCTGCAAATAATCATAATTATTAATTGCTTTGCCTTCAATTATCCTGTATGCAGAAGCTCGTCACACTACGAATCAGAGGTTAAGAACTTCTTGACATTTTTACTGAAATCATTGAATCTTTTTATTTTATTTTTACTTTTTATCCAACCTGAGGTGAAATGTGCAGGATATGTTTAGTCCAACTCTTACTGTCACATGCTGAGTCTGAAATTACTTGTTAAAACAACACACGGTAGCTTAAAGCCCATTTTAGTCTTTTGGTTTTGGTTGTAAACCATTAATAAAAACAGTTTTTAATAAGCTTTTTTAAACAAGACTGAAGAACACAACAGTTGGGATTGCTGTGACTCGTGTAACCACCATCAACAGTGATCTCGTGCATTTTCCAAGTTATTCTAATGTGGGAAAATTTGAGTTCCTCAAAGCTTCTTGAAATTCTTTGGTTTGTTGTACCCTGAAAACCGATGAGGTTACACTGTATGGAACTGAGCAACAAGCTTCACTTGTACACGTCATTCAACCTTTATTTATACAGGTTAGTCTCATTGAGTCACAAGGACTCATTTTCAAGAGAGGCCTGTTTTTAACAAAGAACACAGGTGAGGTACAGACAGCAACAAACAACCATAAAATGCATATAAAATAAAAGCTAAATGAATGTAGTGATATAAAACAAAATAAAATCAAGCTACATTATGGAACAAGGTAAAATACTAAAGACAGGAACATGTCTGCATTGGTTTTTCCCAGGAACATAGCAGATGTTTGAAGGCACTTAGAGAGGTCAAGGTCGAGAGCTTCAGGTTTTTTTGCAAGGTGTTCCAGGTTACAGGAGGAAGAAAAGGCCTTTTTGCCGAGTTCGGTCCTCACTGAGGGGTCGCTGCAGGTAATGATGTCTTGAGAGTGCACGCTGTAGCTGCATTGACGAAGTGACATGTAGGAGAAGATGAAGAATAATGAAGACAGCAGACCAAGAAATGATTTAAAGATGAAAATATACCAGTGAGAGAGTTTGCGTGAAGCTAATGATGACCAGTTAACCAGTGAATACAGGGTGCAGTGACTGGTACCATGGTTACAGCCAGTTATAAATCTTAGCTCACCATGATAGACAGCGTCCAACATTGGCAAGGCGCTTGAAGGAGCATTCATATAATGTTACCATCAATGGATGGAAGGAAAGTAACAGATACAAGGTGTTTCCTAGCATTCAGAGGTAGACAGGATCCATTTCTGGAGAAACCGAGAAGAAACTCGGTTTTAATTTCGGCTTTTTTTTCGACATGAGGCTTAAAGGAGAGATGTGCATCGACCAAGATTCCCAGTTATTTGTAAGAATCTACAAACTCGGTAGGACCACCGTTTGTAGATAAGATATAAGGAAGGACTGCTGGTACCGACTTGTGTTGCACGTTTGATTAATTCTACATATCCTTTCTTCACAGGCTAATCCCCGCGCCGTCTTCCATAATGGTGGACATTTTCTTAAACCGAGTCCTCGTGGAGAACAACTCGGACCAGGATGAGCTCAACACGGAGCGCGAGATCATCGGGATCCTGGAAAACCGCATCCTGATGCTGTTCTTCGCAGCTGCAGCATGTGAGAAGTGCCAAGATTTTGTACCAGATTTAAATGGGTTTTTTAAGAAACTGAAAGATCCGGCATACATCGAATACCCCAAACTGCTGGCGCTCATCTACATCAGGTCTTCATCTTGACTTTTTATTCATGTCTACCTTATGTGGTTGCGTTAAAGCACGCCGGTTTGTAAATCACTTCTGAAATTTCCATCATTTCTCTCCAGCTTGGACCAATCAAAGGAGCAGCAGGAAAGATTTTTGAAAGAGCTGCACAAAAAGACTTTGTTTTTGGGCTTTGAGGACCCATTCAGAATGTAGGTGGACAACATAAGATGCATATTTAATACGTGTTTAGTATTCTAATTTGTGCCGTTGAATCAATCAGTGTTCTTTTATGTTGTGCAGGGAGCTGCAGGACATGTTTAGGGTGAAGGACCTTCCAACAGTAATCGTCCTGCGTCCCGATGGCTCGGTCCTCTCTCCAAACGCAGTGCAGGAAATCTCTCAGCTGGGAACGGACTGCTTCCAGAACTGGCAGGAGTCAGCCAAGCTCATCGAGCGGACCTTCATGCTAAACGAGGACTTTGATGACCCGAACCTTCGAAGTGCCACCGACCCAGTGAGGAGGCTCAAATACAAGACGGAGGACGACAAGAGGAAGAAGAGATGGTGGAAATTTTGGGAGAAGGGAAAAGATGAGAAGGATGAAGAGGAGAAGGATGAAAGTTGGGACAAGAAGACAAAGCAAAGTAAAGGAACTCAGAGGAGAAGATGAAGAGAAAATATTAAAAGGCTATAATACAGTATGCACTATAAACATAGAAGAATGGAAATAACTTAGAAAAGTTCACTTTTTCCAGAGCCAAGTGTACAGTTTATTAGTTTTTATTCCATCCATCCATCCATCCATCCATCCATCCATCCATCCATCCATCCATCCATCCACCCATCCATTATCTTCCACTTGTTCCGAAGTCAGGTCTCGGGGGCAACAACTTGAGCAGGGAAGCCCAGACATCTCTTTCCACAGTCACCTCTTCCAGCTCTTCTGGGAGGACCTCAAGGTGTTCCCAGGCCAACCAAGAGACGTAGTCTCTCCAGCGTGTCTTGGGTCTCCTCCCAGTCAGACATGCCCGAAGCACCTCCCTAGGGAGGCGCCCAGGGAACATCTTTACCAGCCTGAACCACCTCAACTGGCTCCTCTCGATGTGGAGGAGCAGCGGTTCTACTCTGAGTCTCTCCTGATAACTGAACTTCTCGCCCTGTCTTCAAGGGAAAGTCCAGCTACCCTGCAGAGGAAAATCATCTCAACCACCCGTTTCCTCAATCTCGTTCTTTCAGTCACTACCCAGAGCTCGTGACCATAGGTGAGGGTAGGAACGTAGCCTGGTAAACAGAGAGCTTTGCCTTACAGCTCAGCTCCCTCTTCACCACAACGGACCGGTACGGAGTTCGCAGTACTTCAGATGCTGCACCAATCTGTCTGTCAATCTCACGCTCCATTTTTTCCTCACTCGTGAACAAAACCCCGAGATACTTGAACTCCTCCACTTGAGGCAGAACCTCACCATCGACCTGAGGAGAGCAGTCCACCCTTTTCCAGTTGAGGACCATGGCCTCAGATTTGGAGGTGCTGATTTTCATTCCACTGAGCGGACCGCTCCAGTGAGAGCTGAAGATCACAGCACGATGACGCCAACAGGACCACATCATCTGTAAAGAGCAGTGATGGACTCCTGAGGCCACCGAACTGGACGCCCTCCACCCCCTGGCTGCATCGAGAAATGCTGTCCATAAAAGTTATGAACAGAATCGGTGACAACGGGCAGCCCTGGCAGAGTCCAACTCCCACCCTGAAGGGGTCTGAAGAGGTAGTTTTTATTCTTTATTTTAAAACTACTATTATTAAGAGTTCTTATATTTTCTTTAGACTTGAAATCACACAAAATTTTTGTTTATGAGCATAACAAATAATAATAATGTTCATTTTGTTCATCCCCAGTGAGGTAAGTCCTTCTCTGCATTTTTTCCGCTGCCATTTAAGGCGCCCAGGGAGCAGCTGGAGGGGTTAAGGGCCTTGCTCAAGGGCAGAGTGAGGCAAATAAGGGTGGAAGCATTTCACCCCAATTTTATGTGCTAGTCTGGAGAATCGAACTGGAAACCTTCCAGTCACAGGTTCACTAACAAAAGCAACAACAAAAACACGTTTAAAACATTTCTTTTTCAAGGAAAGTTTTAAAAAGGATCTAAAATTGTCAAGTGCTTTGACTTAACCTAAATCTAAAAACAATGTGTTGAACATAGTATAACGATGTGTTTTTACCTCATTTTTGTGGGTGTTTTGAGTACAAACACCTGATAAATTAAGATTTTAGATGCTTAAACTAAACATGTTTTTTTACTGTGTATGAACACAAACATGAAACATGCTTTTTTTCTTTTTTACACACAAGCTGGCATAAAAATCTGCTTAGATTATGCACAAAGTGTTTGATAGATGTAGAAAAAAGAGCAAATATGCAATAATTAACACAAAAAATCCGATCATTGAGCTCACTCTGTTCCTCAGAGATTTCTATTTTTGTTTCTTCCTGGTAATTTGTTCAGCACCCTATAATTTAAGTGCGGATGCTGTAAATAACTGCAGACATGCGTCACAACGGTGTGTCGCAGCATTTCTAAACTAAAGTTTAGTAAATTAAGTGTAAACTGAATTTCTATAATGCAAAGAAAAAAGAATATAATTTTATTTGGTTCTTATTTAGGGCAGAATGAGGTGGAGTGGTAACCTGTTGCGTGTTTTGACAAACCAGAAAGTTCAATCAAGCATTTTGCGTCATTTAAGCTGAAAACTAAAGAAGCCTCTCTGCTTGTTGATGCTACACAGATTAAGAGTGAGCAGCCGGTTTCATAGAAATGTCTATGTGCAAATAAAATATTTTCACATTAAAATAGAATTTAATGCAAACTGAACAAGTTATGAAGCGACTTATGCAGCCATATAATATATATTTAGTCATAGTAGGTCTTGCTTATTTCAGCAAGACAGTACAAACTTTTCTGCACAACAACTTAGTTTAATAATCTGAATGTTAATCCGCCCTCTTCGGTTCACACTGTAAGAAAGGAAATGCTAGATTAAAGTAACCAAGTTAGGCCAACTGGTTCTGCTACTTAATACAAGTACTTAATGAACTGGTTAAGTTGGATTTACTGATCTGTGTTTACAACAGTTGTCTTTAAATCTTTTATTAGCACTTTAATACAACACAATCTGTTTGTTTTGACAGTTTAAAAAACCCCAAACAAAATTAATCATAAAAGATAATGGATGGATGGAGGGATGGATGGAGGGATGGAGGGATGATAGATGGATGGATAGATGGCTGGCTGGCTGGATGATGATAGGTGGATGGAGGGATGATAGATGGATGGATGAATGATAGATGGCTGGATGAATGGGTGGATGATGGATTGAGGGATGGAGGGATGATAGATGGATGGACAGATGATAAATGATGGATGGATGGATGATGGATGGAGGGATGATAGATGGATGATGGAGGGATGATGGATGGATGGATGGAGGGAGGGATGATGGATGATAGATGATGGATGGATGGTAAGTGGATGGATGGACAGATGATGGATGGAGGGATGAGTGATGGATGGAGGGATGGAGGGATGATAGATGGATGGATAGATGGCTGGCTGGCTGGATGATGATAGGTGGATGGAGGGATGATAGATGGATGGATGAATGATAGATGGCTGGATGAATGGGTGGATGATGGATTGAGGGATGGAGGGATGATAGATGGATGGACAGATGATAAATGATGGATGGATGGATGATGGATGGAGGGATGATAGATGATGTATGGATGGACAGATGATGGATGGACAGATGATTAATGGATGGATGGATGATAGATGGATGGATGATGGATGGATGGATGGTGGATGGATGGAGGGAGGGATGATGGATGGATGGATGATAGATGGATTGATAGAGGGATGATGGATGGATTGATAGAGGGATGATGGATGGATGGATGGAGGGATGATGGATGGATGAATGGATGGGTGAATGGAGAGATGACAGATGAATGGATGGATGGATGGAAGGATGATAGAAAGATGAATGGATGGATGGATGTATGGATAGATGAATGGATGGATGGATGAACGGATGGATGGATGGATAAATCTGTTGTAAAATTCAAACAAGACAAATATTTTATTTATTTTGGTGAAAATACACCAAATTCTTCAAAGGAGGTTTTATGAATTTGAGTATTTAAGTATTTATCTGCTGAGTTCTTTCACAAATGAAGAGATATTATTGGACGAACACAAACTGTTTAAGCTTTTATTTTATACGACAAATCAGCAAAAGTTTGGTCCTGGTGCCTTTGAGTTTGTAACTTAAATTATGCTTTGTTTAGGAACTCAACTGTTTTTAGTTGTTTTTTTTCTTCTTGCATTTGTATTTTGTAACCAAACAATTCAAAGTCCCTCAGTTCTCCACAGACCAGAGCTTCATGAGTGTACAATGTTGTTTCCAGTGATGCAAATAAAACGTTTTTTGATCCATAAATTCCTCGTGGTTCTGCTTCTCCTTTACTTACTGAACATTAAACGTCTCACTGAGACTCACTCCATATGGTCTATTTAATAAAGTCCTTTAAGCGCGCCTCTCTTTCTGTAATGCCTCTTTATTCAGATCATGGTTAAGTCGTTGCTACACACTTCATGCTGCCTGCATCTCTGTCACCTTACCTCCATGAGGTCCCTCCCATCCTGACGGAGGAGGGGTGGAGGAGTGAGAAACTAGCGCCAGAAAGGTGAAGAGGCAGCGAATGGGTGGACGTCATCATCAGACTGACTCAAGTCGGATCAAAAAGGAGCTGAAAGGGAAAATCAAAGCAGATGTGAATGTAGTTTTCTTCCACATGAGGGGAAATAACAAAGGTAAGCAACAAACAGGATTATCTGATTTAGCAGCAGCCGAGATTATATGAGATTAATAGATGAGTGTGAACGCGTTTGAGTGGAAATTATGACATGAAAAACAAATAATACACAATACAGTGTTCCTGCTTTGTAAAGTTTAGCCCTTTTAGATTTATTTTTTATTTTTCGACATTTTGAGGGATTTTTTTGTTACATACTGTTTAAAATACAATTTCCCAACTAAAATTTCTTCTGTTAGATCATTGTCTAAATTAGTTGTAATCATTTCTATCTAATTTGATGAAAGTTTTTGTAAAGACTGCCCATTTACCTGCTCAAAATGATTGCTTCATCCCTTTTTAATTTACGACTGTCCTAGAAACTCGATCGGCCTTGAAGCCTGCAGTGTGCAGCAGCTCTTGAATTTTTGTGTCAGACTTTGTGTTGTCGACTATTTAGTTACTTGATCTCAGTTTTATTTCTTCTCGTGCTTGATTTTATTTTTCTGTCCCTTGTGTTTTGGTTCAGCTCCTTGCCAGTTCTCATTTTTACCCTCAGCCAGCCTCCTCGGTTGTTCTTCAGTCACTTACACCAGTTAATAAGCTCCCAGATGCTGTCTCTTCCACTTACTCCCAGTCTGTGGACATTCTGTGTCTTCCTGCCACTAACGACAGTTCTCACAGCTCCTGAGTGGCAGAGCTTACCTCTCACCTGTTCCTCATCCAGCCTGATGAGGTCTGCTGTATCTAAGGACCTGTGGCTCAGTGGATCACCACTGGATCATTTCAGACCCTTGGGTAACATGTTTTTGGCCCTTTGTGATCCTCATCATAAGAAGCCTGTACTCCCTGTTAGGCCTGTCGCGATAAGCAATAAATCAATTAATCGCATGTTGAATGAAAATTATCAACCTCATTTTCATTTACTGGCTTTATCGTTTCTTCGTGTCTCTCTCTTTCTGCTGACGACACGGCTCAACTCCGGTGCTCTTCACTGACCCCTCCCTTTGTCTTTAAAATCTGTTTTAACCGTCCAAAATCGGGTTTTTGGATCGTGAAAAGCATCTAAGCTGAGAAGCTAAGCTACAAGCTAAGCTAACAGGCCAACCTTGAGAATAAACCTCTGTCTTGCTGTGCTTTGGTGTAAAACGTTGTTTTTCTCTGCAAAAAGAAGCTGAGAACATGTTTACTGATTTTTTTTATTAAAAGCTTTGTGTGGAAAATGCTATGCTAAAGAGCCAAATCATCGAGCATCCACCATGTCACCATGTGAGCCCAAGTCACTCAAGAACCCTCCCTCCCATTTTTCTTAGAGACACATTGCTCAACTATCCATCCTTTGGTTCAAACAGTCTTATACTGCCATCAGGTGGTCAAAAAAGGTACTACACTCCAAACAAATTCAACATTTCTTCTAAAATTTGACAACTAATGATTGTTAAATTGCAAACAATATTATCGTTTATAGCAATATTTTCTGAGACAATCGCTCAGCAAAATTTGTTATTGTGGCCTGCTCCTTTTGTTTCCTTAAAGCACAAGCACAGTTCACTTATTTGAGCACTTTGGTAACAGCTGTAAACGAGCTTTATAAATAAAGTTGACTTGACTTTCTCCAGTCTTGAGTTACTCATCTGTGGAAGTCTTGTTTCCTTGAGCACCACCTGAGTTAGCTTCCTGTGAGATCTAGTGCCTGGAACCACCTCATCTTCTTACTGGGACGTTCCTTGAGTTTCTGTCCTGCCACTAGAGTTGCATTCGGGTCCAAAAAATCTGACTCAACCCGGCCCCAGCCCGTAGCCATCATTTCCGAACCCCACCCGATACGACAAATTAACAGTACTTACAGGTCTGAACCTGAAAAAAGCCAGACATATTTAATTAAGCTTTGACTGCTTATATAGTTATTAACAGTCGGCGGACGCGCACAGTTGAGTAAAGGGGGTAGAAGATCGGAGCTGAGGAGGTGTTTGTCCTTTCATGGTTGTCAAAGCGCATTAAATCCCTGCTTTTGCCTGCATTCTGCATTATTCAGACATGGACCATGCTCTGACATGTCGGATATTTTGGGATCTCACCTGTTTGGTTCGTCGGCCGCGTGCATCCACTGAGTGCAGCAGCTGAATGAACGTCCATTTGGGCTTTGATGGATCACTGGCAGTAGTCCCTCTGAAGCTTAACTGAACTTTTTACCTCTTTCAAGGCCAGTCAGCGTGTGGCCGCATGTGGCTGGTGATTGTATGGCAAGCCATGTTGGTATATAATTGGATTGTCAGCCGCTCGCATCTGCTGACGCAATCAAAAGCCCGACACTGACCCGGCCCACACATTAAGCAGAACACACATGTTTCTTTCTGCTCTTGCTTCAGATTTCTAATCCCTAGAGCATATCATTGTGATTCTGCATCATGGTGGACCTGTTTGTGGATCGGGTCCTGGTGAAAAACAACAAGGACCAGGATGAGCTGGACACAGAACGAGAGATTGTGTTGCGCCTGCAGAACCGGATCCTGATGCTCCTCTTTGCATCTGCTGAATCAGAGAGCTGCCAGCAGTTCGCTCCCACCCTTCACAGCTTCTTCAAACAGCTGACGGATGAGTTCTACGTGGAGCGATCTGCTCAGCTGGTTCTTCTGTACATCAGGTGCATCACGCAGACACTCAAACAACTGTTTCTGTTTATAATGGCAACTTGAACTCTTGTTTTTGGTTGCATGTTGTTTTTGAAACCCATTTGTTTTGGTATTTTTTCCTTATAGGATTTACCATACCATACCATGCCATACCACTTTATTTATGAAGCAATTAAAAATGACAACAAGGCCAACTGAAGTGCTGTACAGCAAAATTGAACAAGCAAAGAACAAAACATAAAATACATAGACCCAAATAGGTAAAGATAAGAACTAAATGACTAAAATTATAGAATAAAGAGAAGTTAAAATTAACTCAGAGTGTCTATAGTCAGGGAATAAAAGTGAGATTTTAAATGAGACTTAAAAACAGTAAGAGCAGGAACCTGCCTGACATGTAGTGGTAACGCATTCCAGAGTTTTGGACCTGCAACAGAGAAGGTGTCACCTCTGAGCTTAAAACGAGTGCCTGGAACCAATAAAACATCTGGTCTGCTGACCTCAGAGAGTGCTGTGGGACATATGGCTGCAGCAGATCAGCAAGATTGGAGGGAGCAGAACTGTTCAGAGATTTAAAAACATACAGAAGGATTTTAAAATGAATTCAAAAGTGAAAGGAGGCCAGAACTGGTTTGGTGTGCTCTGTTTTTGTCTGTACCAGTAAAAAATCAGACTGCAGCATTTTGGACCAGTTGTAAATGTGTTATAGAGGTCTGACTGATTCCAAAAAGAAGTGCAATGCAGTAATCAAGCCTGGATGCTATGAATACATGTATTACTGTTTCAAGATTACTTTTGGACAGTATGGGTTTCAGTTTAGACAGTCTGAACTGAAAGAAACAGGATTTAACAATCATGTTTACAAGACTGTTTAGCTTCATAGAAGGGTCCAGACTAGTGACTACTTGTTTCTCTAACGAGGCTAGAGAGGAAAGGTCGATACAATGGTTCTTGATTGTGCCATTTGGTGGAAACATGACTTCAGACTTCTTATAAAAGTTTAAGAAATGTAAAGCCATCCAGTCCCTGATGTCAACCAGGCAGTCGAGAAGAGGTTGGATAGAACGTGCACCAGTGTGCTGCAGAGGAAAGTAAATTTGACAGTCATCGGCATAAAAGTGAAAATGAATGCATCGATTAGGTCTGATCTGATTTAGGTCAGGAACCATTGCTGGACAGTTTCAAATGACCGTCGCCTTTTAAACCATGTTTCTGTCTTTGAAAACTTTTGTTTTTTTATTTATTGGTAAAAAGCAATAATTTCACCCCCAACTTTGTTTTCTGACTCTTGACTCATTTTCTCTTAAATGCCTTGACAAACTTCTGTTTTTATCATAGCATCATCAGCAAAAGCATAAAACTCAAGTATTACTCTGTTTCATTGTTCTGAAACTCATGGGCTTCATCTAAATATCACTGGGCTAAATATCACCTTTATGACTTAAAAGTTATTGCTATTTATTATATAAAGTTTGTGTAGAGCCACACAATCTTATTGATCCTTAAATAAAAACAACAGAATCACCTGAAACAAAAGTTTGTTGCATTGTGAAAGTTTCTTATTTTTAGGATGAAAAAAACAAAAACTCTAATTTTATGGTTGTACACGTGAAAATTGAAGTTTCCTGTTTAGAATTATGCTGGCAAATTTAGTTAATTTGAAAATAAGATGAAGAGATTAAGCATCAGTTTGCAGCCTAAAGTCATAAAAAAAGATGAACTGCCTTTTTCAGATGTGGAAAACTTTAGTTTTTGCTTTTACAGCAATTTTATCTGATAAATATTGAAAAAAGTACATTTTCTGGTGACTTTGGAGGGCCACTCTTCTGCATAAGCAAACAAAGAACAGGCTAACAAATGATAGGAAACTGAACAATTAATTTTTATTGATATATCAAACATTTATTAACAGATGTGTTAATAAAACTTTGTTCAGACAAACCATCCATACATTATTGTCATTTAGCTGATGAAATTTGATGCACATTTTGCAAATAATTGGACATAAACACTGAAACGTACCTTTTATTATTGTCACTTTAAATATAAAAATGACTAAAGTTCACGACATTTTCAGTGAAAGTCACTGCAGAAGGACTGAAGAGCCTCACGTTGCAGACCCCAGAAACAGCTCAGTATATGTGGGTGTGATAACAACAATGACATCCTCATTTTTAAGATCTCACTTCTGAGCATCAATTAGACATTTTATGAAAAATTTTCTGATCAGCTGAATTTATTTCAAAACATCATGCATTTATGATTTAGAACACCATCGGTGTTTCACATCTACAACTGTTTGTTGTGTGTATAGTAACATAAAAATAATAACATATCTAGAATTGCGCTGCTCAAGGTGGCTGCATGTTGTTGCAGCTCTGTTACTTTAATTCCGAGATTTTGCTCTTGGAAACTTTAATTCCTCTTTTTCTGGATGTAAATCACATTTTTTGGATGATTGTTTCCTCTGGTATTGGATGCTGTGCAGCTGGAAAGATTTTTACTGAAACTTTTTTTTTTATTTTGGACATTTGGTATGATGCGTAACCATGGCAACAAGGCAGTTTTCTACAACCAACAGCAGCTGATTAACATCTCAAATAATATCTCAACTACAGCCCCAAAGTTCAAATGAGTTGAAAAGGATTTTCTGTGGACGCATTCTCATCTACCTGCCAGCTGTGCTCGAGAGCCTGACCACTGAGATCCTGGAACTAACAGGAAACACGGCTCATGACAGCGGAAGGACAGGATCGTCCCTCGGCACCTACAGTTGGCTGTCCGCAGCGACGAGGAGCTCGGCAGACTGCTGGGAGGAGTGGCCATCGCTCTGGGAGGAGTTCTGCCCGGCATTCGGGCGGTCCTACAGCCCGGGGGAACCGAGAGTTCAGCCGAGTCTGGGTGGACGGATCGGACGGCATCTGCAGCCAGTTTCTTAGGATCCACTGTGGGATGGACTTTTACAAGAGATCCTTCCTGCCTACAGCCATCAGTATCTATAACATCTCTTAATGAAATGAGGATAATGAGTTACAACAAAAATAATTTCCCTTTGGGATTAATAAAGTATTTTTGAATTGAATTGAATTAAAGAGGCACAAATTATAACAACTAAAGGTGTTTTCTTGCTTTTGACCAATACACAAATGATTGAATTTCTTTTCATTCCTCAGTTTGGATCAGTCAGAGGAACATCTGGAAAACTTCCTCAAGGAGCTTCCCAAGAAATCCCTGTTCCTGACCTACGAGGACCCCTACAGGAGGTGCGTGGGAGCAGAGGTTGTGCTACCTGCTGCTGAATAATGACACTAAATATGCTTCACTGCATAAATCCATTAGCTCTATGCTGCTGTGTGCCTGTGTGTGTGTAACCCACAGGGAGCTGGAGACCTTGTTTAATGTGAAGGAGGTGCCCACAGTGGTGGTCCTGCGTCCTGACTGCTCTGTTCTCATCCCCAACGCCGTGGAGGAGATAAGCCGCCTTGGACCAGACTGCTACCGCAACTGGCACGAGGCGGCGGAGCTGATCGACAGGAACTTCCTCATGAAGGAGGACTTTGAGGAGAAGTCCATGCGCAGCTTCAGTGACCCTATCAGAAGACTTAAGTACAAGGTGGATGACGAGAAGAAGAAGAAAAAGAAGATCAGAGGCTGGGATGGAGGAGGGGAAGCAGGAGCAGGTGACAAGGATGGAGGAGGGTCGCCATGGTGATGGAGATTAGAACAAACTAGAAAGTTCCTGGAGAAACTTTGAAGGAGACTGCCACGCTACTGCCAATTTAAAAATGTGATTTGACAAGACCATGTGTTGGGGTTCCCTCTCAGATACCACTGTTCCAAAGTTTAGCTGAATAGCTCTAAAAATGGCTGAGTTATCATATTTTTCCCTTTTAGCTAAGGTAGCCATCTTGGATTTTTGATTCACATAAGAATAACTCACTTTCAGCTACGACCATACTAAATTTCAGCTCAATATATCAAAGAATGACTGAGTAATAGTGAATTTTGTGTTTGCTGAGGTAGCTGTGGCAGCCATCTTGAATCAGAATGGCTCCGGACGTTAATCAGTTCCAGAGATATATCTGATGATTACTTTCTGTGATTTTCAAACGTATCCAACAGTGACTTTCTAAGTTCTCTTCAGGGACCGCTACACTTTAAGTCATGTGACTTCACAGCAGCAGTTAGTGCGCGAAGCGTTCTGTCAGGTGTTTTGTATGGGAAAAATGGTGTCTTCATTCGCAAATTACGTTACCATGGTAACGTGACACGCCAATAAAATTAATAGCACACATCAGGGCGCTGAGCCGGTCATTTTGATATAACATTTGTGGGAGTACACGTTGTGGTTCGGGCCACATTTAAGTTGACAGAAGACTAAGATATAAAGTTAAGAAACCCTAGACAGGTGGATAATGATAGGTGCTGCTTTAAAGGAAGGCTTTGATTTACACAAAATATATCGCTGATTAAATTCTTTGTCACCAATCCTCTTCCCTTCATCTACCAACAGGACAATTTTTTTCTTCCTTTCTAGTAAAACTCCAGAAAATTCATACATCTTTGATATAATTTACTAGATCTTCTGGGTGAAGATCTTTCAAAAGTTTTCTATGGACTCTATGTTGTTTTCACTCTTTTCTTTAAAGCTGTCATAGTCATAACAATGAGTAACATTTTTTTCTTTTTGTTGTTTTATCCTTTTTCCATATTTTTGTGCTGCTTGGTCAAGGACTGAACAGAGAATTAGTGGAAAAGCGATCAAAGTACTTATCTTAAACTTTACGAGAAGTAAGATACACAAAAATAAGGGGTGCTTTAAACTTTTGCACAGTTTATCTCTTCTAAATTACGCACAAACATAAAGCTCATGTTTTTGTGACAACTATACAACCCCGGCCAAATAAAAGTTACAGTTTCACTCCAAAAATCTGAATCTGAATATGTCAAGAAGCAAATGTCACTTTCTTTAAAAAAAAGGAAATCCCTGTTGGCCTCATCTGTTTTGTCGGCCATCTTTAAGCTGCCAAGTTCACAGTCAAGCAAAGGCTGGGCCAAATCTGGTCCTTAGCTTGTTTTATTACACCCATAGGAATAGTCAACACCATTTCTCCTTTTCCCACAATCCCAGCTCTGCAGAAACACATTTTTATTAATAAACTGCAGCACCCAATCACGCATAATTTGGAAATCAATGAATTATTCAGGACCATTAGAATATTTTTTTAGTGGCTGTTTTGTTTGGAGTGTTTGGGAAGTCTGGCTGCACTTTGTCGTCTACACAAGCAGCAATCAGAGACATTCACGGGAAAACGGAATGATTGGGGTGGGGGTGGGGGGGGGGGACTAGCTGAACATAATCACTGATTTCCTTTAAATGCACTGAAGACTATGTTTAGCCTCTGCACACTTTCTCCCACTTGTGTGATGCACTGATGGTACTTTTGTGCGCTCAGTCATGCCCCCCCCCCCCCCACTTCCTATTTTTGCAACATAATCCCAAATCGGATCTGAATGAAGTTCTTGCCTCTTCCTGAGTGTCCATGTGCTACATGCTGTCACAGCGCGAGCAGGGAAAGGAATGGCAGCAATGCAGGAAAATGGATGAGAGGCGCTGATGGAGCCAGAGCATCATCAGGTGTCACTGAGGGCTGAGGTTTGATTGGGATGATTTCACGCGCTTTGGCGCGCGCCATAACAACTCGATTCAAAGAGCTTTAATGCTGGGGACAGATTGACAAATAGGTCATATTTCCTATCAGCAGCTGCACGAGCCAAAGCTTCCCGTGGTGGGAATGTTGCGGGAGCTGCGCGCTGGAAAACATAAAAAGCCCCCCCCCCCCCCCCCCCCCCATCACTCCTTTTCTCCGTGATATTTTTACAAATGAATTTCAGAGGGGGTGAGACCTGGTGGTTGAGACAGATGTCAGAATAAAAAAAATGCATAAATAAATAAACAAATAAATAAAAAAGGCGCGCGCGCTTTTGTTTGTTTTTGCCTACGCAGCAGCTTTATTGTTGCTCACTCAGACGAACCTTGAAAATCCAGTCGAAGCCCCCCCCCCGCCCCCCCACTACCACCACCACCACACACACTCTCTCCACCATCACTTTCTCTCTGTCTCACGCACGTGCGCACACACACGCAACAGACGCGTTGCGCGCTCTCGAGTGCAGAACGCGCAACAAGCGGAGCAGCGGATGGAGAAGAGGAGGAGGAGAGGACGGATGCAAGGCGAGGCCGGGACACCTTCTCTCTCCTGCTTATCCAGCTGTTCTCTTTGTTTTGTTTTTTTATATATGTATTTATTCTCTGATTTGATTTTAACCCCTGCGTGAACGTGACTTAGGCTATAGCTACAAAGAATAATAAAAAAAAAAACGCGACAAAAATCTCAGCATCCGTCCTGATGTTGTGCCGCCGCATCTTTTCACGACTCTTTTTTCCGCGCGTCGACCTTATTCCCCGTTAGATAATAATTATTATCCAAGGATGTATTTGCCAAACGCCATTGGAGGCACGCGATCAATACTGACGAGAGCGGCTGGAGACGACGGAGGCGCACAGCGGCCACGGCTTGTGCAATAATTTGCGCCTAATTACTGTCTTCGCTGCTCATCGCGTCCAACTATTCCTCTTTTTTTCATCATTATTGTTTTATTCTATTTGCTCCCTCCATCCGTCGAAGCTGTAATAAGGCCTGAAGCCCGCATTATCTCTGGGCAATGAAACCCGTGGGAATTATGATACCAACGTGACGCACAGAGTCGCACAGCTCAGCGGGGAAGACATCGAGCCTCGACAGGACGGAGGGGAGGGTGCGAGGTCCGGCAGAGCGCATCGCACCCACCACAGGAGGAGGACGCCCAGTTGTTGAGACAAACCGCGCTAATGACTGCCACATAGTCCCAGCAGGTACCATTCCCCTGAAAGATTATTTTTTTATTTTTTTTATTATTATTTGAATGTGCTGGACACAGCGGAGGGGGAGCGGGTGAGGGCGCGGAGAGGATGCGGGAGACGCAGTGAGCGCGGAGGAGGAGGAGGAGGAGGAAGAGGAGGAGGAAGAGGGAAACAGGAGGATTGACGGTAAGATGTGAAGGATGCACCCCGCCCCTCTGCTTCTGTCTTTCTGTGCACATACATGAGCAGAGTCATGTATGTGATGCTGCTGCTGCTGCCAGGGGGGCCATTTGATCCGAGACAAGCACGGATCTGATGCTTTTCTCGGGCTCCAGTTTAACCCGGGTCAGTATAGAGGACAGTGAGTGCTGTGAAATATTCAGACATCATTTAGCTCCCCTCTGCAGGAAATGTGCCATTACTGCTTTCTGGTTTGAAATGATAAATGGTTTACCTGCTAATTATTATTATTATTTGTTTGTTTGTTTGTTGTTTTCTAATCACATGAAGAGAAACAAGAGACAGAGAGGAATAGGGTGAGAGTCCATTATCAATATTTTAGAGCGGGAATGAGAAGACTGGGTCAGTGGAGGAGGCCAGAGAGAGACACAGAGAGCCAGTAGTGACTGAGATGCTGAGCGAGAGGAAAAAAGATGGTGAATGAAAGAGGAGACAGAGTGAGGGAGGGGTGAAGGACAGGAATCACCCTCACAAACCAACATCTGTAACCTTCAGTACATATTGTCCACAATGCTGAATGAATGGCACTCATCGTTGGCTGTACGTCTCGGTTAACATTTGGAGTCAGCCCTGTTCAAGATGGCCGCCACAGCTAATCAAACTCAACCAACACAAAAATCACAGTATGTGCATATATTGAGCTAAAACGTATGTGGTAGTTGCAGGAAGTCATCCTCAACATGCACTAAAAGGCTGGCTGAGATCTTTGGCATTAAATATGTCTGTTAGCAAAATATCTCATGGTTTGCCAAACAAATATTAATGAAACTCTCAAGTAGTAACCTTAATACCTTTTGAACTCAACTGGATTCAAGATGGCCACCACAGCTAATCACATGAGGAAACACAAAAATTTTCCATAACTCTGTTAATTTAACAGATGTTGAGCTACTGAATCACCCCGTACACTCCAAGCACATCCATGATAACAGAGGCTCTCAAACTGGGGTCCCAGGACCCCCAGGGGACCACGAGTCATTGCTTGGAGGCCGTCAAAATATATCACAATTATTAGTTAGGTCATACTATTTTAAAAAGTACATAAATACTGATGGGGATCAATGCACCAAATATACTTAAAATTGTAAATAGTTTTTAAATCAGCAAGAGGTTTTTGTGGGAGTCCATGGAAATGTTTCTGTCTTGTAAGAGGTCTCCAGACCAAAAAGTCCGAGCACCGTTGGTTTAAAATGTTGATGGTAATCTGTTTTGGAGATCCAGTGCTCCAGCATCAACATGTGGCACAGGGGCTGCACAGCTGCAGAAAGAAAAGCTCTGCAGAGAGTGGTGAAGGCTGCACAGAAGTCTGTTGGAGTCAGCCTCCCCACCATCACAGACATCTACACCTCCACATGCAGGAAGAGGGCCACCTGCATCATGAAGGACCCCACTCACCCAGCACACACACTTTTTGCCCCGCTCCCCTCGGGCAGTAGGTTGCAGAGCATTAAATGTAGAACCACTGAGGAACAGCTACCAGGATAATCACTGTAATACCACTTTAATTGGTGATATGTCACTTTACCTGTGCTGCTGATTATTCATGCTGCTGATCTCTTACCATAAGCTGCTATATTCATACCCATCTGCTCACAACTGACTCATGTTCAGGCTGCTGTTTAATACACCGTATCATATTACAGTATTATTGTTTAGCATATATCTTAGATCTTTGTACTTGTTCTTCTTTTCTTTAATATACTTTATATTATTACTATTTTTGGTGGGACATGGAGTAGACAATTTCATTCCACCTCATGTACCACATATGATGTGAATGACAATAAAGCCTCCTTGAACTTTTGAAATATCTCATGAACCAGAGGGTGGGTTTTACTGAAACTGAAAGGAATCATGAGGCACACATCTACAACTGGTTGATATCTGGACTCAACTCGATTCTAGATGGATGTCACAGCTCATCACTATAGCAAACACAAAAATGTCTATAATGCAGTGAATTTAATAGATATTGAGCTATTTGTTGTGATAGTTGAGCTTCACCCTCAAGCACGAACAAATCACGAGCTCTTTGCAGTGTGGCGGGTGATATGCAGTCAAGCGTCGTTGAATTTGAGGATCTTGGTCGAGGCAGAGCAGACTGAAACCGGCGATTGCTCGGTAAGAATTAGCATGAAACCTTTCCGAACACACATTTTCGAAGGTGACTCATCCATACGAGTGTGTGAGGCTGTGTGTGCGTGCTGCATGCCAGACAAGATAATGAGGTTGGTTTCTATGTGGGGATCATTTACATCAGCCACTCAGGAGAAAAAAAAGTAATGCGATTTGCTCAGCCGTTCAAACACACATAATTTGGATAGATTTAATCTGATTTATCTTGTAAAAAAACCGCATTTTTAGGTCGTTCCTTTCTGCTCAGACCACCTCAAACAGGTTCCTGTCGTGTCCCTTTGAATCAGTCGGACACAGTGAGTCAGGAGCTTTTTATATTCAGGCCTGTGAATGGCGGGCAGAGCTGTGGGCGGATGGATCACTTTAATACCAATCCTGCGAGGTGAGGGACTGGACATCAGCAGGGGGTGCGCTCACAAGAAAATCCCAAGTGGTGCGGCGACTAAATATGTTCCTCATGAAGTCAATACGAAATGTTACCAGGGAGAACACTGGGAAAAAACATCATGAGAAAAATCACTATCATGAGGGTAAAAATGTTCATATAATGTAAAAAAAAAGAAGGGCAAAATGATCAAATTTTGGGTATATTATATTTAAAAATAAACCAACGAGTGTTTATTTTATGATAACAGAATAAATGCATAGTGAGAATTTAATAGCTTACAAATTCAAGACTGGATGGCAGCAGCACATTACATCAGACTTTGCACTTTTTAAGATCTATATTTATTAAACCAACTGGATTTACAGTTAAATCCAAGTAAAATAAATAAATGATTAATAATTTCTTTACATTTATACATTTTTCCTTGCACACTTTTTTTTCCCCCCGGTAATTCCGGTAATTTATTTTAGGCAGCCCAGCTTTTTTAGCATTATGGTAATTGTAGTCGTCCTCCAATGCGAGAGTTGGGAGTTTGATTCCACCAGCAGCCACATGCTCAAGTGTCTCTGGGCAAAACACTTAACTCCTCATTGCCTCTGCTGTGTGTCCCATCGGTGTATGAATGTGATAAAGCACCGACTAGTCTTTGTAAATATGTGTGCTGTATGAATGGGTAAATGAGGGCACAGACTGTGGTGTAAAAAGCTTTGAGTGTCTTGATAAAATAGAAATGCACTATAAAAGTACAGTCCATTTACCATTTATGAAATCTAGACATGTGTTAGAGAAAAATGTCTTTATCCAGACCTGGCTGAATGATATCTGAAGATCACTGGGTGAGCCAGACCAGTCCCCATTTTTTTGGAAGGCAAAAAAAAAATAAAAAATAACCACTCTATTTTAAATAAAGCAGCATGCTTTGACATCACTTTTTCAGTTTGTTCAGGATTTTTCAACTACACCTTGTTCACAATATTATACACAATACTAATATTTTGAAGATGCTGATTTTATCAGTCCACCTGATCAATGTGTCCATATATTTACCGTACTTTTTGCTGTATAAGTCGTACCTTTTTGCACAAATTTGCATGCCTTGCGACTTACACGGTGAAGCAACTTATTTATTATTATTTTTCCCGTGTTAATAACCCAATTTTTGGCTGAGATCTGATGATTTCATTCATTCTGACATGGAAAATATTGAACACTACCATTTTCAGCAACTCGAGTAATATGGCAAGCCAAGTGTCTCATTAATAAGTAAAAGTGGCTATTAATGAGACACTTAGCTTGCCATACAAAACCACCTTCTCTTCCTCAGGAATTCCTGGAGCAAATGTCAAATCAGCTGCATTTCGTTGCGCCGCCCAGGTGAATTGCAGCGGATTTGACTGTTAAAGTGCACTTATTAAGGAAAAGTTAACCTGAGACACACCTTTACTGTAATTTCGAGCAAACAAATAATAGTTTTTGAGTGTTAATCTTGTAACATTCTTGTTAAAGTCCTCCCGTGCATGCTCCCGCGGCCACCATTTGGCAGCCAATCGATTTTTGGCACAACACCGGCCCATGTTTCCGGGTTGTCACCGGTGACGCATAATAGATGTGACTAATATGGAGAAACAAACTTATTTATGGTTTTTTTTCCACTTTATTAGACATATTTGGACTGAAGTGACTTGTACGGTGATGCGGCATGTATGGCGGAAAGTACGGTACTCAATTTATAGCCAATTTGGTCTAATCCAAGTGGACTGATACATTCAGTAACATCAGGATGCCAACATTCATGGACTAACAGGACGTTCAGTCGAGAAAACAACAACAAACTAAAACATAGATGTCCCTGTATGTAATCATAACAATATATTCATTCCAGTATTTAGTAGGATCCATATGAGGTTCATTTTTTCTGTCCATCACATTAAATTGGACCCACTCGGTTATGTCCTGTGAGAGTTCATCCAAAGCTTTTATGACTTAAAGTTCTTTCGAATCCCGCAACATTGTGTCACAGCTTAGAATAACAATTCAGTTTTGTATCCTGGAGTTTGTTCAGACATGTTTCAGCTGCGTATAATCAAAAACAGGTTATGGTGACACAAAAGAACCAAGCTGGTCTTAAAAAAAAGTAAAAAAAGCTTGTTGTTGGTGAACATGAATTTAAAATCCTTCGTTTCTTTGTGCCAAACAGGATGACATTCCACATCTCAGCATGAGTGGTTTACCAGACCAACACATTTTGTGTGTTTAGTTGACAAAATGAGTTTTGGCTCCAATAAATTCAGGAAAATTAGGTTATTGGGCTGTAATTACACTGCATATTTTATTAGAAGTGATGTATTTTTCTAACGTAAAAAAGTAATTTAAAAAATAATAACAATATCAGTAGAAAGTTCCTGGAGAAACTTTGATGGGG